AAATGCTCCCTTATAAACACTTACTTTCATATATGACATAAATAACCAATTAGAAGCTCAGAATGTTCCCCTAGTGGTTTTCTAAGCCTTTCTAGTGTACCTGGCATCATTGCTTTCTTTTAAATCAAGATTTCAATGAGGTAAGTTGTGTCTTTCATCTGCTCGAAATTTCATATTTTTTAGTTACTACGCTTGATAAATTAGAGTTGAATTCTATGGTATTGATATAGTAACTTATGGCTTTTTTTAGTTATTCAAATGTATATATATATAAAACCTAAAAAAAAAATATTTTGTTTCATATCCTCCATGCATAAGGTTGTAACTATAAGAGATAATTGTTTGCTTTACTTCTCTATGTTTTAAGAAAAACAACTTTAAGAACTTGTTTCAAAATAGCAATAATCTATATACATATATAATGTATAATAATCGAAATGTGACTGTATTTTACAAAATACTACTCGGCTAAAACAGAGCCAAGACAAGTTACTTTGTACAGACCAAAGGTAACCTTTATGTTATTTGATATGATAACATGAGTGCACGTTAGCCGCATCGCTGTAGCTTCTGTATTGTTAGCCAGGCACAGGTGAAAGGTCATTATGGTATAAAAAAATTATATATGTATAATCTTATGAGATTTAAGCTATTTCATCTAAACATTTATGTTTCCGTGTTACAATCTGTGTTCATTCTAGAATGAAGGATGCATAATTTATGTTTATTTCCTAATTTTTTTAAGGTGGTTGTGAGATCAGTCAAATTTACTGAAACTGTACAGAGGTTAATTACTGAAAATAACAGATAAAATATAAAGTTTTTTCTTAAGAAACGTTTGATAACTATTTGGACTTTATAAAGATTTTGCATGCGAAATTTCGAAATTTTCTAATGCATAAAAATATTTTTAATGTTAAGATGAAAATTACTTTGCATGATAGATACGGAAGATATGAAATGAAAAAAAAAAGGCACGAGAGAAAAATTGCTTTAAAAACTTTAAGACTCAATAAAAAAAATTAAATATTTTGTGTATGAAAGCATTGCAATGTTTACTGATAAACTGCCAAATTTCGTTAACATTTGGAGACTAATTTAACACTTATAGCATGAAAACTATAACAAGCACAAAATGGTTAAGAGGTCAGTCCCATGGACCGAGCCCGGGTTGAAAGAGTTAACATTTGTCGGGCTAAAAACACAAGTTTGTCAAAATCATTCAGGTTCCCAAATATAACCAAGATTCATTCTAATTTTTATGTTTCAGTATAATACGATTAATTTTTCATTTCACCCACTACAGTCTGATGTTAAGACATGTTGGAAGAGCACGTTTACTTGCTATCACATAAAAAATGGGTTTTTCAATCAACGAAGGTTGAAAATCTTTATGAACAGTCTATCTTATATAACACAATACATGATATACGCTTAAACAAATTCAGTTAATGAAGTCGTGTACAGGAACAATTCAACAGCTCTTTATATTTCAAAAACCAATGGGAAAAATTGCACAAAGAAATAATTAAAAGCTAAAAGGCAGAAAGCAATAGAAGATGAAAAACAGCCCAAAAGAGATAGTTACTGATTAACTTGTGTGCATGTGCGTAAAAGTTCTTCTAGGCATACATCCATGAAACACTTAATAAAAAAACAAAACATACCAAGTGCTCTGGACACAGCCAATGTTCCATTTACTCTCCATGTACCAATGAATAGAACACAACCTCCCTCGTTCTCTATCCTGTGTCTTTCATCCTAAAACACAAAGTCAATTTTGTTATTGGCTAATTATTTAACCTTTATCACATTGTTTCATGAACTATCAAAAGATCATTTACGTATCACAAAATCAACACAACCGACAATTTTATTACGAGATTGGTTTGGAGTTTTTATGCACAAATCCCTAAATGCTAAGCATGGAAACAATTTGTTACACTATCTTGTTTTTTAAAACAAGTACAATAAAATAATATGAAATTGAAGTGTGTAAAATAAAAAATGTAAATCAGAAAAGTTAGTTTATATATTCTTAAAATATTCAAAATAATTAAAAATGCCTATAGAGAGTAAAAACTAAAAACATTGCTAACCTGAATAGTGTCATCACAGCAAATGATAATGTCCAACATCAAAGGGATAGCACAGTTAAGAATGTGTTTAAAATGGTTCCACTGTTCACTTTTGTAGAAAACATTGGGAAAGTAATATGTGGGCATTCGCAACTTTAGTGTCCCACTGCTCATGAATTAAAGGGTCACTCCATTGCAAGAGAAAATAATGAGTAACAAAAACAATGACAAATGCAAAGACTTGCAAGGACAATTACTCCTTCAGATTCCTCTGCAAACTAGACACCTGATCACCGATAGTAAGTTTTAGATGGAAAAGCTTATTCAAATATTGCTCACCCCAAATTGCATGCCAAGTGGCATAAAGCCTTACCTTGATGATCCAAATATGGAATAGGCAAGGCAATGTCACCAATGCAAATCAATTTGGATGCTGTGCCAGCAAGTTCATTCCTTAAGGCTCAAAAATGTCCAGGAATCCAGAAAAACTGCATATAGATAGATGACAGTAAGAAATGTGTCAGTCTTTCCTGAATAACTAACAGAACTGGGTGAGAAGGGATGTTAGTGATTCCAGGGCCCTCAAAGAGCTTAGTCAGTTGCTAGGTAATTAAGAGTAGGTGAGATTGCATACAACTGAGCAACACAGAATATGTTGACGGAATCTTGTGAGCTACTAAAGTTCTGCAAGAAACTAAGGCAAACACCATAGATTCACTTAATTTTGAGCTATCTATAAAAATGGGATTGGTTCAAAAAGTTTTCATTAAAGATAAATGGGTACTGCCAGTCAGGATCATCCAACCTCTCAGGTGACTCAATGAAAGAATGCAGTGGAGGATGTTAACAAACCATGACAGGATAGGCTGATAATCAAATTCAGCAATATCATCCACTGTCAGGCCTACCTCAGTCAACTCTTCTTAGAGACATGTCAAAATTTGGGATATCAGACTATCTATTTGTCAGAAACGGAGCCCTCCAAGGTATGAAGACACACTGTTAGATGGGGGTGCACTGGCAGTGATCAGAGCTTCGCAATGTTTTGTACAAAAAGTAACAAATGTCCAAGGTGAAATGGAGGTTCAGAGGATTCGGTGCATAAACTCTGGACTAAAGAAGTTTAAAAAGGTCTTAAGATGCACAGTGACTAACATCTACAATTCAAAGTCCGTGGCAAATACAACTACCCTTAATCCAGTTTATACTGAATAAAGACTCAATTGAGATTGAGTACCGTACACCAAGTCACACTCAAAGATGTGAAAGAGAGGATACGTAGGATGTTCAATCTCCTTCTACAACTGACTTTAAAATGCCTTATGTGTGGAATAAAAGTTGCCTTGTTGTCAAAAAGAAGTCCTAAGGACTGTGTGAGCCACCACAGGAATTTGGGCTCTTTCTGCATAGAGCTTTCAGATCAGCATATAGTCCCAGGTGGTGGAAGAAATCCACACAAATGGTTCTAACTGACGAAAACTTTAAGCCATTTGCAACTTATTAAGGGCAATTTGAAACTACTGCTCAGTGTACCTCATATACCTGTCAAGTATTAAAGATTGGCTGCAGGCTATGGTTGTATTACTATTTACTACAGTTATATCATCCCCTTGTTTTCAGGTTGTTCTATTTTTGTTATTATAATTTACAGTTTTTTCAGTTATTTCCAGTGATATACCACCATATCATTGTGCACAAGTGCTTGCATCAACATCATAATTTTCTTCTTCCTAAACGGAGACTCCTGCAAGAAAACAAAAAGCCCTAGAAAAGTACAAATGTTTGTGGGCAAATGAGTTTCATGGGGTTCTTGCCAAGCCCAGTTTGGGAGAGAGTTATGCTAAATGAACAGTACGCAATAGTTAAAGTTACAGCATCAAACATCTACAATATAAGCAACACATGAAAGCAGCATTACATTAATGAAATTGAAAATCCAGCTGCAAATAGCCTCAACTGACTTTTTTTTTAGCAAAATCTGGTTCCAATGTCAAATTAACTAAAACTGTCATAAAAGTAAAAGTGCTATTCTTTTAGACTGACATGTCTGTTATTGAGATTTAGTAAAATGTTATTTATCTCGTGTACTTAATTTATTTTCTGTTTATTTTTTTATTTTTTTGATTTAGAAAGACTTATGTTAGCAATTATACATCAAACAATGAGTCATCATGTAATCCTGAGAGTAATTAAAGAAAATTATGGTTCTTTTCATGGTAATAACTACTAGTAGACATCAAAATGGGTTGATATGAATGTCATATGGATAACCAACAAGAAACCTTAAAGCAATTGAACACAGAAGTTGTTTAACTGTAGGAGGAAGTTGTTTAGTGATGACACTGATATTAATATTAAAGAGTACGACACCCAAGACAGCCCTGAGGTATTCCGAGCTCCTGTGAGAAAGACTGTTTTACTACCGATTCCACACATACCTGGAATGACCTCTCTTCAAAATATTTATGGATACAAATAGGTAAATGGTCATGGAACCAATATGGATAACCAACAAGAAACCTTAAAGCCACTGAACATAGAGGTTGTTTAACTGTAGGAGGAAGTTGTTTAGTGATGACACTGATCTTAATATTAAAGAGTACGACACCCAAGACAGCCCCGAGGTATTCCGAGCTCCTGTGAGAAGGACTGTTTTACTACCGATTCCACACACATCTGGAATGACCTCTCTTCAAAATATTTATGGATACAAATAGGTAAATGGTCATGGAACCAATATGGATGGAGGTTGTGTAATAAAACCAAAACTCCATAATGTGGCACAAGTATTCTTAATATCAAAAAGGACAGAAACAAGATGTTAACTCTGGACAAAAGCTTCCCTGACTGATGGTTCTAGTCAAACCAAATGGTCCATGGTAAATCACTGTTTATGGAAATCACACAAGGTGTTAGAAAGGAGGATGATTGATTCAAGGAATCAAACAAGAAAAGTATTCAACATACTGTCCAGAACTTTACATAGACAGCTAATCAAAGCAATAGGTTTGTAATTAGAAGGAAATTTCAGATCTTTCCCAGGGTAGAAAAAGTGATGACAATAGCCGGGTGCTCTAAATCTAGAGATTCCTTTTCCTGCCAGATAAGGTTAAAAAGAACCAAAACAATATTAAGATGGGTAGAAGAGAGATGGTACAGTATCTCATAATGGTGTTATCTTGTCTGACTCATGAACTGTCAGACATATGTAGATCAAACTTAAGTTGCATTAGAGTAAATGATCAATTTAGTCACAAAGACAATCAAACCAAAAAAGAATACGAGGTTCTTTCAACATGTATTTTAATGATCAAGAAGGCAGAAGAACAGGTGGAGGTGCCCAAGTTTTAGGAAAAACACTTTCCAAGTGTGTGAGCAAAATCTTATAAATTAGTAACTTCTTAGCTGTTGGGTTACAAGATTGAGAGGGGATTGGATACATACTTCCTATTCACCTTTCAAACCTTATCCCAAAAGACTTTGGAACTGGTAGTTGAATAAAAGTTGGAAGGCTTTGACAGTTGATCTGCTAGGTATGGGCATAAATCTTCTAAATGTTTATGCAACTGGTAAAAGTGTGGTAGCTAAATACATTATCCCAGGCTTATTTCTAAGCCCTCGATGCCTTCTAACAGTCGAGTGTCTACCATGGACATGAATAAAACATGTCAAAGTTTTAGGGATGGTAACGAAAGCTGCCTGGACAACACAATCAGTTATTGCCTCCAGACAGCTGTTAACAGAATAACAGCTCTAAGAATAATGGTGTAGGTGAGACACTTGGTCAAGTTCCCACCATGATATAAGAGTGAGGTGACATCAAATGAAGCCAACCTCCCTCAAAATGATGAAAAATGATCATTGCCTTGTATATTATTGTCTACCTCCCATGAAAATAAAGTAAACAAATGGACAAATCTGTGACAATAAACATGTGGTTTGGTGCATGGAAATATATATACATTCTCTCATTTTGAAGAAAGAAATGCTGTGATCCAAGATCAAACTCTACAAATTGAGATCTCCCAACAACAGAGTCTTAATGTACGAAAGTATAAAAAAAAAAAGCAATAAATGGAAAGTTTCCTTTACATTGTGTACATGTTTTTTAAACGTAATTTACTGAGTGTTTAGATATTAGTTATGTCAGTATTAAATATCCAGTATACCCTATCATCTGATATTTGTTGTGTCATTATGTAGAAAACATTAAAGTTGGCTCACCACACTAAACCCTACTACTAGTCTACTGCAGTTGTTAAACATAATGAAATGTTGGAAATTAAAGAGGAAACATTCTTATGGATGATTATTATTATTATTATTATTATTAATGAAGATTATAGACTACTGCTGTAAAAGTTTGAAACAGATAATTGCTTTACTGGCCACTATATGCTCCATTGATCCTGCAGCTGGTATTCCAAATAGCCATTATCAAAACTAAAGCATTCCATAGTTTACATAACAGAAAGTTATTTCACTTTTTTTTTCTTGCACATACTTGCCTAAAACACATTTAATTTGAAAAATTGGAATAAAAATTCAGTATTATCTACCACTCTGCTAGAATCTACAAGCTGTTAAGAATAGAGGATTCACTTTAGCACAGACTAAACCTACTTCAGCCAATTCAAACACTCATGTAGCCAGTACTTAAAATAAATCCCACTGAAGAGAATG